AAAAAGATTCAAAAAAAAATGTTATTATCGGGGGAGATTTTAATGTAAATGTCTTAGTACAGGATAGTTCAACTTTAAATCTGTTGCATTTTATGAAAAGTTTTAACTTTACACAAGAAATTAAGGAACCAACTAGAATCACTGAAACATCTGCTACTTGTATAGACCTAATATTTACCAACATACACAATACAAACTTAGTTTTACAAATGACGGTTAAAGACTACGAATTCTCAGACCATAAGGCAATCTTAATAAATATTCCGAAACAATCAAGTAATGATAAGAAAACTTGGTACGTAGAAAAAAGATTATTTAATGACAAAACCATTGCTAACTTTAAATCTGAACTGCAAAAAGTAAAATGGGATAATTTAATAAAACCAAATGAAAATGTAAATATAAATTTCAATGCATTCCATGAAAAAATTCAACAAATCCTCAACACAACTATTCCTAAAAAGCGTATTAAATTAACGAACAAAAAACGGAAAACGTGGTTAACAAAAGGTTTAAAAATATCATGCAAAAATAAGCGTTTACTAAAAATCTTAGCTTCTATTTCAAATAACCCTATTCTAAAACAATATCTCAAATCTTACGAAAAACTTAAAAAAAAAACAGTTAATGTCTCAAAGAAAGTACTGTATAAGAATATATAAAAAAATCAAGCAATATTACTAAAAGTATGTGGCAAATAATAAAAGAACGCACTAATAAGGGCATAAAAACGAAAACAAAACAAAATATTTCATTAAATATAAATAATTTGACTACTGACGATCCGGTTAGAATTGCCAACCATTTAAACTACTACTTCTCATCAGTGGGGGCCCCTATTCAAAATGATCGCCTTGCTGCTGGTCGACCCGTTGACAATCGTTCTCAAAATTCAATATTTATACGTCACACTGATGCCAAAGAAATATATGATGTAATTAGAAACCTGAAAAATAAACGAAGTTTCGGTTATGACGAACTACCGCCAGTATTAATAAAGGCATGTGTTGTGGAACTTGCGGAGCCTCTTTCGGTCTTGGTAAACCAGTCACTTTCCGTGGGGATTTTTCCAGAGCTACTCAAAATTACAATTGTAAAACCTCTACACAAAAAAAAAAGGTTAAGACTTGCTGTGATAATTACCGTCCAATAGCACTCCTATCCACGTTTTCTAAAATTTTTGAGACCGTTATGTACAATAGAGTTTATTCGTTTTGTGAGAAATATGCAATATTTAATAATAAGCAGTACGGTTTCCGAAAGGGACGTTCTACAGGCCTTGCTATATACAATTATGTAAATGAAATATTGAAAATAATTAATGACAAACAACATGCAATTGGAATCCTATTAGATATGAGCAAGGCATATGACAGGGTTCTATATCCAATCTTACTAAACAAGTTACATGACATAGGTGTGAGGGGTACAGCTCATAATTGGTTTGTGTCATATTTATCGCAACGCATCCAATTTGTGGACGTCGAATTTTATGACCATTACACGGGATTAATTGAGAGTGTCAGGTCTGACAAAGTAATGTTGAGTCGCTCTATCCCCCAAGGTAGCGTTCTGGGATGTTTGTTATTTTTGATATATATAAACGACTTGCCTAATCAATTTGATATTCCTTGCATTCTTTTCGCCGATGACATTTCGATGATTCTGCCTTGCCCCAATATTACACAATTACATGAACTTTTAAATATAAATTTGACATTAATAACAAGCTGGCTTAATGACCATAATCTACAAGTTAATTTTAACAAAACTAAATTAATGCAGTTCCGACCATATCAAAAACGCCCCATAAACTTTATTTATAAATTCAACAACATTCCGATTGATTCCGTAAACTCCTTCTGCCTCCTAGGGATAAATATCGACATAAATTTTAATTGGAAGGACCATGTGAATAAAGTTGTAGGTAAACTGTCAAGTTTTATATATGCTCTTAACGAGCTAAAAAAATCAACTGACCTTAGGACAGCAACTAGCGCTTACTACGCGTATGCTCATGCCTGGCTAAGCTATGGCGTTGTATTGTGGGGCAACAGCATTGACGTAAAAAAAGTTTTTGTATTACAGAAAAAATGTATCCGCATACTCGCCAATATAGATTCGTTTACCAGTTGTCGATCATATTTCATTAAATATAATATTTTAACTTTGACATGTATATATATTTTACAAATGTGTCTAATTGTAAAGAATAATTTGGATGCATATCCTGTGTATTGTCGTTCGGCCAACCTAAGACCCAAAAACAGGCTAGCAACAACTGTTTCGAAATTGCAAATGGTCAACTTGGGGCCATATTCTATGTCCATTAAAATTTATAATGCACTTCCTCATTGTTTAAAATTAATAAATAGCGTTAAAATTTTTAAAAAACAACTTAGTAAACATCTATGTGACAAATGTTACTACTCATTACAAGAGTTTTTTAATGACAATGAAAATTGTTCACAATGATTAAAAAATGTAATTTTATATTTTTTATCCGCATTTATAAATAATATAACATAATTATTTAATTTAATAAAAATAAATGTATGAGAATAATATTACTATTAATGTATTACTATTATGCAATACTAAAATAATTTGACGATTAATTTTTTATAAAAACTTTAGATTTTTAGGCTCTACATTCCTTTTGACATTCTTTTGACATTCATTTCTTACAATTGATTTATTAACTTTCGGAATATATTAGCTTGAATTTAATTATTATAATTGTAATAATATTCAAATATATTTAATAGTATTCTAAATGTATTATAATATTTTAAAATGTATAATTGACATTGCTACACCCTTACAGGGTACATGTTTGATACTTCATCAACTATTATAAGACCTAAATGTAACAACATGTTTTGCAATAAACGTTTATTATTATTATTATTATTATTTAACAAAGGTTATTTCAATATAGTACGAGAATATTGTGATGAAGACCTCATTTTTTTTTCATGTTAGGTTTACAATCTGTAGGTACGACATTGGGCTCAAAAGGATTGCTAATATCTATACTATGTACCTATCGTAGCTCTGAAAAAGGTCACAATTCCGTCTTATGTCTAGATGGCGCTAATCAGTAATAATAATAATAACGCACACACAGTAGAGTGTGTGCGTTATAAGGACTATAAGGGCTATAAGAAAACTTACATATATCCTATTTTAGTAAAATATGTTGTCAGAGAAAAAATAAATAAAATTACATTAGATTATACACCAAGCCTCTGGAACCCACGTCTGCAGTTCCAGTGCTTAAATATATAACAGATCTGGTAGTCCCAGATCAACCAGATGAGGCTGTTGGAACTGTCACGCACAAGCCTTATCAGAGAGGCAGTTAGTTCTCTTGCGTATTATCGCACTTAAGTTATTACACAGTACGCGCGTCCGCGACCATGCCTGCTGCACTGCAAAAGCGTGGCAGTCCTAACAGCATCCTAAAACCATTATTGTATTGGACATGTATGGCGTTGACCGTCTTTTTAGTATAACTTGTCCATAGACTGCCCGTATAAAAAGTTTGACAAAACGCCTTGAAGAAAGTAATTTTAACTTCCTTATCACAACGCGCGTACCCACGGTTCAACAAGTATTTGCATGCGCTTGTCCTTTACAATATTGCAGACTTAAATCGTCGCAGTTTGAAAGCGTTTCGACTAAACTACGAAGTTTATATTTTGAAATAATTATTTACGAAGTTACGATTCTAGAATACATTCCGGGTACATTCCAGAATATTGCACACAGTGCACATAAACTTTGTTGTATAATCAAACATTGAACTTTTCCATATCAGGAATTCCTACTGCGAGGTTTCGACGCATGCATTATAAGTTTTTATAGTTATTTACGTCTTAAACACAATAAGCGCTCGTTTAGAATTGCTGTTTGCTTGCATATTTCTAGCGGAAAATCTCTTGAAACTATTTGCTCAATGCAACGTGAGAAATATGTTTTAAGTTTCTATTAGTCGTATGGTTTTTTATAGTCTCTATAAGCTTGTTGAGTTATGTTAACGATCTACGTTTTCTTTATAACAGTTTTATTAGTCTAGTCTTCATTCATAGTCATCTTTTTCATTATTTTTAGTTATATTATCATTCAACTTGGGTTCCTCTCCTATAGGAGGTTGAACAACGTCATGGCAATCCTGACTTTAGAGGCTGCCCCTCTAAAGAACACGGTGGTACTGTAGCCGAATTATTGCCTCAAATTCTTTAACCAGGAGTGCTGGCAACTACCAACACTTCGTTTTCCAGCGATTTTGCCCTGCTGGGGTAATTTGTACTTATTGTTCCTCATGACGAGGCGGAAGTACGACATCTTCCTGCACGCAATGGTGTTCATAAGCTCCACTTTTTTCTTCAATTTATTGAGTACTTCTACATTTGTAACCCGTTCACGCAATGAGATTCTCAAAATATAGCGGAAAATCCACATCTCAATAGCCTCTGGCTCCTTGTGCTCTGTGTGATGGTACAATATTCTACGCCATATAATAGGAATTAGAGAGAGTTATTAGGTTGTGTAGATTTGGTGCCTGCATGCTCTACAACGCGAGTGGCACGCGAACGGATCGCGCTACATAAAGCGCGTGTGCTGTTACAGCTGTTAACGCATTCGCGGCGCGTTTGCCAAATTTGTACGCATCTTAAATAATTCATTATTTAAACTACAACAGCCACTTGTAATAGTCGATTATAATGTTTATAGATAACTAGATTTATGAGCGTAAATTTCCATGCGAAAAGTTATTAGGCACTGTTGAGTGAGGTAGACATTGTTTAGAATAGGTAAAGACGCAACTTGTTGGAGCTATAAATTAGCCACATCGTTGAGTTATTAGACAATGTCAGCAAAGTTTTTGATAAATTTATTACCTATCTACTTCTTCCTTCTTTCTTTACTCTTCCTTCCTTCTTCAGCTTGTCAATAGAAAACCACGAAATTGACTCATTGCGGGTTAGTTACAGAGTGGTGCTGGAGGTGGCTGGTAACTCAGACGCCGTCATATTAAGTGGACTAGAAGCTGATACGCAATACCAGGTCACTGTTGCCGCACTTTGGGGCGGACACAAGTACCGAAGCAGGCCCATTGTCTTCCGCACGCTGGGTAAGTGAAGACTTATAATGTATTCGATAATATTTAGTAAGTAAAACACTTATGGAAATCGGAAACAACGACAATATAGAAAAGTTAGTTTCTATATTGACCCGACCGGGATTCGAACCCGGGACCTCAGAGATGGCGACACCATGAAAACCGGTGTGCAAGTACTCGACCACAGAGGTCGTCAATGTATGTAAGTACTACGGTTTGATCAATAGATAAATGTTAAGTTGTTATTAGCCACACGTGTACACAGTGTTTGTATTTGAGTAATATCATCAATTATTATATTATGTACTAATTGGATTTACTTTGTGATGTATACAATAGGCATTACCTATATTCCAGTCTTGTTACATAGACAACCCAACTTGTAATAGGGAATTTACGTGTCTGCTACAAAGATGAAAGTATCAAAAAATTTAATCGTAGTTACCTGTTAATTCAAATTGCCAAAACGGAATAATCTTGTAAAATTCCTTTTTTTTTTAATTTTATTGCATGTGATTTTTTAACAGACTTCAAAAAAAAGGAGAAGATTCTCAATCCAATTGTTTTTGTGTGTGTATGTTACGCGTTTACTCCGAAAATTTGTGAATCGATTTCTATGATTCTTTTTTGTTACAAAGTAATGTTATCTCAGTAATAGCCCCTATCAAATTTGAAGAAAATGTTCCATCTCTAAGGGTGGCAAATTAAGGAATGAATCCAGTTTATTGGATTCCACCCACTATACGTTAACCAATTTCGATAATACTTGGCAAATAGATGTAAGAGCTCTTTCGAGCGTCAGCGTCTTGCCAACGCGCGCACAGCGTCGACACGACGGCAACGCAAAGTAGTATCCTTGGACGCGACGCCAGCACTGAGCGACTTCTGAATAGTTTCGACCGTCAGGAGTACACCGCGCTGGAGTAGCGTCGCGGTCGCGCGGACGTCTCGTGAAGACGCTGTGCTGGCGTTGGCTAGACGATGATGCTCGAAAGACACTAGTGTGACGGGTTTCTTATTCCATAAACGTTTTAGGTCGGTTTTGTTTTATAAATAATCTCAGTACAGAGTGCTAAAAAACCGACCTCAAAAGTTCGTCGAATTTGCTAAGTTTTATTGAAACCGGTTACCGGAAAGTGCGCGAAACCAGATTCATCCTCTAGTTTGCCACCCTTAGAGGTAGAATATTTTCTTCAAATTTAAATGGAACCAGTACTGGGTTACCCTCTTTCCAACAAAAAAAAGAATCATCGAAATCGGTTAACAAATAAGAGTAATCGCGTAACATACACAAAAAAAACAGTCAAACTGAGGATCTCTTCCTTTTTTTGAAGTCGGAGACAACCGACAATTTCTACGTATATCTTAATGTTTATTTCGTTTCATCAGCAGTGTAGTCTCAAATTAAATGTATTTCATTATGTAAAATAATTAGTACACTACGTCATCAAAGTGCCATCGCCGGTAACCTATCACAAATTCGAACTTTTTTTTGAAATAGCGTTTCTTCGAATTTTCATTACACTGAACACTGAACAACTGAATTAAATCGAAATCGTTGGTCTTTCAGGATGTGTTGGATTTTTATCGCAAAGACACAATTAGGTTCGGTTAGGCTAGGTTAAGTTAGGTTTAAAAGAAAAAAACATTTTTCTCTCAAAGTTACTTTCGAGGTTATGAAAATTCAAGCCAACGTTATTTCTGGAAAATGTCATTCCGGACTAATGATAGGTAACCGGCATCGACTCACCATTGAAGAGCAAAACATCAAAAAAATATTATGGCAGTTGAATAGTAGCTCGATGGTTAGCTACTGACAAGCCATTACTCTTTTTAGCAGAATACCAAGCGTAAAAAAAACCAACATCGGCTGGAGGCATCATATTGAAACAAAACTGAGACGATTTAAAATAAGCAGACTTGGGTCCTTGAATGTTTGAAGTTTATCTTCAAAGTTCGTCAATACGTAAACAGCGCAAAATAAGGAAACTTCCAAAGATATCGAAAGTTTTAGACAAAATCGTTTTCTAAGAAATAGACCATGAATAACTATACAATAATACAGTGCGAGTATAGAAGATTGGTACTATGGTTTGGGTACAGATTTACTATCTGTTGTCTGTTGGGTATAATATCGTTGGATGGTTGATAAATTCGAGAACAACGCCATAGTATATATAATAAAACAAGTAGGGCAACTCCCGCATGTTCGGCGAGTAAATGCCTACACTTCACACGGAGCGTAGGGTTGTCACATTATTATTTTATTTGTACTTATAGGTTGTTAATATAACATTTAAAAAAAGTATTCATCAAAGTACTTTCGTGCTATAGTGAATGTTAAATGCAATACTTACGTATTGATATTTTTGTACCAGTATTCTTCTTGCCATAATCTATTTATTATATAATCTATTAACCTATCCAGAATTTAATTTCACAACAATAAATACGTCTACTATTTGATGTAACTGCCTTCATAGCGGAACGGTTACCATGCTGGTCTGCCACGCAGAGGTCCCGGATTTAATCCCAGGGCCGGGAGAATTATTTGTATGGCCTACATTTATTTCTCTCGTGAGTTTGGGTCTTATTTGTGGTTGTCTATGTGTATGTCTATGGCACCCGCGATACAGAGTTTCCGTAGTACGGGGTTATGGGTGTGTGCGAAAAAAAACTATTTGATGTCATTTTTGAAACAGCGAGCGAATGCTTCAATTTGATAATGAGACGACCCGTGTGAGGCGAGTCGCGCTATACTACGTGAGCGCTCAGCGAGATTATGCGATTGTGTGCGTCCATACAAGGCGCGCGACAGGCGTGCTCTCATACAAGCCATGCTGTTACGTTTGTATAGAGTTACCATATTTGTCTTATTATGCTATGACAACACTTAATATTAGATAAACAGAAACATGAAATACGCCTCGTTGCGTCACGGATTAAACTTTACGACAGCAAGATTGGTTTGACATACGAAAAACAGAGACGTCTGTTCAACATCCATTACTATTAAAAACATCTGTTCACAGGGAAAATTGCCGGTTAATTTAATTTGTGAAAGTAGTACAATTTTCTCTCTGCTTTCTGCATGCCAAATTAAAATGGTGCCACAATTTCTCATAGCTGAACGCGCTAGTCCCATTACAGAATTACAATTTTGTATTTGCTGTCAGTCCTAGCGTCATCATTAGTACCTACGTACAAGTATTACAACACCATTAACAAGTTGGTTGGAGAATTCATGTGAACGAGCTTTAAGCACTCTTTTGGTATTTAAGGTTATCACATGACGAGATTTGTTTGTGTTCACCTTTTGTACTGAAGTTTCTAATAATTTAGTTTCGCTTCTGAATAAATGGGCTTAGTTATATAAGTATCTTCTTCTTCCTCTACAACCTACAATCTTTTGCCATCTTTCCCCCGAGAGCTTTCTTCTCTTTTTCTTGCATCGAGTGTTTTACAGCGATTTGTATTGGATTGCCCAAATAGTGCTTGCATCTATACATTTCTAAGTGTAATTTATGGCCTCTTCATTAAAATCATGTCCATTCAATAAATTTTATAAAGACCGAAACAAGTGAAAATCTGAAGAGGCTATGTCGGGTGAATACGATGGATGAAGTAACACATCCCAACCTAACTGTAATATTTTTTGACGGCTATGTAAAGATGTGTGTGATTTTGGAGTTATCATGATGAAATACACCTTAATGATTCACCACTTCAGAACGACAGGGCGCGACTTGCGCGAGAGCGGCATATAGCGCGAGATACTGCCATTCTCGCATAAAATATATCGCACTTTATATCGTTCTCGCGCAAGTCGTGCCCTATCGTGCTACTCCTATTGGGCACTTTCATGAATCTGAAACTTAAAATTTTCCCGCCCACTCTTAAAAGGCGCGCTAAAATATTATTTTTAAAATTATCATAGTCCTCAAAAAATTTTATTCATTAAAAACTTATTAAAAAAAAGGTCATAAATTCAGTCAACCTAAACATCAGCACCAGGCTTTGCCAATAACCACTATAACACAAAAAATGGGATTTACAAGAGCTTTCGTCAAAAATTTTTGACTTAATAAAAATCCGCCCTGCATCGTGTCTGGCTCAAAAATTCCCATTCTACTGGCAGCATAACATTTAATATAGATATAGATAATGTAACATTTAAAAAACAGTCTTTTTTGTTAAAGTTAGCTAGCAACAAAACCGGACGGACATAGTCCATTACAAACGTGCTTGAAAAGATACAAAACTATTAGCGTTGACTAACATATAAATGTTACTAGGAATAGACAGACAAAGACAAAGTAAAACCGCAGCCAGACCAGATAAGAAATTCGGAAGGGCACTCGAATACAATTCTGGACATAATTGCTATCATGACATTGATATATTTGCTATTGCATTAGCTTGTTCGTATTTCGATGTATTGAATAGAAACGAGAAATTAGAAGGCTTGAGGTATTATCGTGAATGGTGATTTTGTTTATTAATGACTTGAAAGATGAAGCTTTTCAATTTTCATTATATACAAGGTAATTTATAAATACCAGTAACCTTGTGGGATTATGTTACCAACGTCATAAAATACCACTTTTGTTTCATAACTTTCCATTTTTTGTAGTAAGTTCAAATGAGCAAGCATCCATTTTGGCAACCCTCACATCCAGCATTTTGAATCAGACTGGTATATAAGTGACTTTTTTTGGTCAGAAAGTAAAATATGATGCGTTAAGTATTATATTTTACTTTCTTATTATATTAACAAAAGTTCTTATCTTTGATGTTAGTAATATATGTAGTTCTGCTAGGTTGTTCGTATTTTATAAATAGTCCCGTATCTTCTTCTTAGTCGTTATCTTCATTGCTGAAGGTCGTGTCCCCAAATGGGTTTCATGACTTTATGGACGATTTTCCTCCATCTGGTTCTATCTTCGGCCTCTCTCAGGGCAGTTGTTATAGGGAGGCCAGTGAGGGCGGTCACTTGGTCACTGCATCAGATA